GTAAATATAGTTGTGCGTGTATACAAGAGATACATGTAATAATTTATATTCAGAGGAATACAGGAATCTGCGATTATGAGCTTAAATATTTGCATTATGAGAATCTTTTAAATGCTTGAATTATTCAATATATGCACGTGAATACGCGTGGATTTATATATATATATATTTGAGTACAAGGCAGATAAACATTTATTAAACGTGCGTATAAATACGTATATACGATAATTTATAATGCATGGATTTACTTTAGTTTACAAATATGTATATGTTTATACGCGTGTGTGTAATTCGATTGAAAATTTAGAGCTTTAAAGACAGTCGATACACTTACAAACTCACACAGAGATTACTTCATTTATATTCATACCAATGTGCAAATAGATGCATACGTCTATTAAACTTTTGGCACGTTCTTGCGAGCTAACAAGCAAATTTTTATATACATCGGCGTGTATGCATATATAAGAGATTATTAGGAGGATTTCAGATAATCATAATTAAGTAATTCATATATATATATATATATATATATATATATATATTATGGCAAGGTTCACCATTTACAAAATAGGGCCACTCTGAGTTAGAGGTTACGTTTGGAGGCATTTTTGTGTATAGAAGTGGAAGAATATATATATATATATATATATATATATATATATATATTACAAACGGATTTATTACCTCTACTCTCTCTCTCTCTCTATATATATATATATATATATATATATATATACTAAATATATCCGTGCCGTCAAAATTGATGGCAAGAAGGAATGTATTATCAATAATATTTATTATATCGTAAGTAATTTTCGTTTAATCCAAGTACAATTTTGTAATTTAAAATAGTTCGTCGCTAACATTAATAATTGAACACAGCACAATTTATAAACACCTAAGGAAAGATATCCGTATATTATCCTCATAAATGTTAAATATTTACAACCAAAATTAAGTTTACTGCAAAAGTTCCCAAAGCACAATATTTTTGTGCAAACTTTGGAAGGTCTGAGTATTCCTTGACAGTCCGTAGATTCAATCTGTAATTTCAAAGTCTGCTTATTTGTCACCCGACAAAGAACAACGTATCATCATATATTTATTTTGAAAATATTTTTTATTGTTCCCCACTTTTTATTTATTATAATTTTTGAAGTTTAAAATGAATTTCTTAAAATGAACAAAGCGTTGTTTAAGATATATGTGGCGTATTATATATACGAACCCTCATCGATAGAAGTAAACGGGAACAAGTTAGCACGACACCGGGGGGGGGGTGGGGATCAGCGTTATTTTGAACACTGCCCCTCAGTTGTTAGACGCACAAAAAAACGTATGTGTGTGTGGCGTATTATATATATATATATATATATATATATATATATATATATATATATATATATATTATATAATATGCTTTTCAGCTCAAACAATAATGGATCCATCAACCTCCAATCCCTACCTCAAAATTCTGATAGCTGGTCAGAATTTGTGATGTTTTCCAGGCCTACATACACACCTCGTGTTTGCGTGTGTGTGTGTGTTCTGTAAAAAGTCACATTGATTGGAAGAAAGATTTTATCAAATAACACACATGAAGCCACTCTCTTCATACACATGTAGACTGAAATAGTTTATATAGACATATTTTTTGTATTTCATAAAGATTTACAACGCACCTGCGGGATTTCATTCAGACATAATTTTGTTTAAAAAGAAAAATGAACGATAACGTTTATTATTCGTTATTTTTTCAGAAACTTAATATAAATACAAACTTTCATTAGTTTAGATAATCAGATAGAAACTTACTTTAATTCTATACATGTATTTTGCAGTGGGCAAATTTCTACGTCTGTACATACACATACACACTCACATATATGATAAAATAAGGAACAAGTGGGAAACAGTTATAAATTTAACATGTTTCCTTTTTGTTTAAGCTTGATCAAAATTTTAAAATATTCCACAAATAATTATGATGAAGCTTAAATAAAAACGAAACGTTAAATTTATGAACGTTTCCTATTTGTTCCTTATCCTATCATTCTGTCGGATTCTAATCTATATTTGATTCCAATTCATATATATATATATATATATATATATATTTCGTCGATATCCTTGACACTGGCAGTTTAGACATAGCGTAACGACAATTTGTTTTGGTTTTTCCTTTCCATAATTTAATAAAATATTTTAATAAAACTGAATTTTTTCAAGGAATATAATAGATTTGGATTCTGATGAGAAAACAAGTCTAATAGTAGATAGAACTAAATCAGCTTGTTATCATGTAAGTGACTTAGAGGCAAAGTTATCTGCATACTTTTTGTTTTACAAACATCTTTCAATTTGTGAGTTTGTTCGCCGCTATCAAAACTGATCACGCAGCGAGGTATATTTGATAGGTCTAGGTTTTTCTTACTGTTAAACTTTCGAAAACAAATGTTTTGCTTTAGGCAATGAAAACCAGCTCACCACGGTATAGTTTTTTTTTTGAATTTTTATCCAGACTTGCCTTCAACCTACAAGAGAAATTGATCACGCATATACTGTTGACACAGAACTACACATACAAGTTGAAAATATATATTAAATTCGGTAGAATGATTCGATAAGTAACAAAAAAGGAAATAGTTATAAATTTACCATGTTTCACAATTTGTTTAGCTTAATTCCACTTTCAAACATTTCTGATGAAGCTAGATAAATAGCGAAACATGGTAAATTTATTAAAATTTTTCTATTTATTCCTTTTTTAATGACACACACATACACACACACATATGTAAACCCAACTACAATAACTCTATATAAATTAACTTCAGCTAATCATATAGAGGATTACGTGCGTTTCCTTTTGCATATATAGATACTTCAAGCGTATGCAGATTGACGTATTCGTAAGCATATAGAGTTAAGAATATACGATTTCATCAAGTTTTAAACATGAACACTAGCTGCAAATAGACACCTAAAAGATTACATATATTGAAATACATAAATATATTTGATAAATAAACTAATATCAAGCTCATCAGCTGAAGACGCGTGCTGCCTGGTAGGCGGTGTTCAGATTATTTAGAATTTTGATATTTTTGAAAAATACGGATAGAGCTTTAAGGTTTACAGCACGGAAAACCGAAGCGGGTGAAAGAGAGTTCAAATTTCGATTAAATTCCTACTATGTTCTTGGAGAAAGCATTAATACACTTTTCCCAACAAGTCACCTGTTACTGGTACCATGTAACTTAGTATACTTTCTTGTACGTTATTTGGCGAGAAGATGGGCGCCAACTTGCACAATGTTATTTAAGCGTAAATAGGAAAAAATTGTATCACATCCATGCACCAGAAAAGAACTTCATTGCCTTAAAAATCAGCATTGTTAATAGTCGGTTTTAGCCGAGTTTAAAAACCGACCCATGTTGCCGGTGGAATGTATTCAACCACGCCAGCCTTCTACAAAAGCTTACACACACGCGTGCGTGTGTGTAGGCAATCAAAAGTGAAATTCTCGATATCAGTTTCAATCGCAGCTGAAAGGGATTTCTTTGTGATTTATTCAAAAAACTGAAAGTTACACATCTGTAATTGTCGTAGCTAAACAATTTAATTTTCGACAGTAGTCTGTATGCTATAGTTATTCTGTCATAAGTAATTGCAAATAGTTACAAATAAGAGGCGCCCACCTCCTCCCTAAAACATCTGCATGAATATATTTCTGCAACTCTTCCTTTGCTTCCGAATATATATGACAGGAGGTAGAAGGGGTGCAGGAGAGCTAGACAAAGAGAAAAATACGTGCGTATTTTATAGGAATGTGTTGAATAACCGCGCTTAAATCTGTATTTCTCCAGCATTTATTTAGGATTGACCTTGTTGTCAACAGCTTGTAAATGCAGTATGCTAACTATTTTATCTTGAATCTCTCATACTAACATTATATATATATATATATATATATATATATATATATATATATATAGACATACAAAACATAGATTTATATAGTTTTGTCTATTCTTCAGCTGATTATATATTTTTATATATGAGCATGTGCGTAGAGAAACAGGCGGAAAACTGTAATGATCTCAGCAGAGATAAATCATATATATATATATATATATATATATATATATATATATATATATAACTACGTAAGTGATAGAGAGGAGAGACACAACCAACCAGAGCCGGTTAAATAGTTCAGTTAAGGTGAAAAAAGATTAAAATAAAAACAAATAGAAAATGTACCAGGAAACAAAAATAAATAAATAAAGAAAAAGACAAGTGAAGTGATCAATACTATATATATATATATATATATATATATATATATATATGCATGTAGTTCAAGTCTTTAAAATAAGGAAACTGAGAAATTCACTGTCGATTTAGATAACTTTGAAGAGTGTAAAATTATATATATATTCTAACAGACAAAGAATACGAGATATACTGTGATGGCGAAAGAAAGATAAACATTAAGAGATGAGAAAGGAAAAGTCTGTACTCACGGTATATGAAATGTTTACCCGCACAAACTCACGCAATATATATCACATGTATAAATAACACACACATATATATCGACTATTTGTTAGTGAAATCTTATTCCTACCGTTATGACGGTATCTTCTATGATATAAAAACTCTTTCTGTTATTTAATTTGGTTATATTTTTTTTATAACGATATTTTTTAATATACTTCTGATTAAAAAAAAATGTTTTTCGTTAATGTTGGATTTATTTTTCTATTTATTCATTTACTCCTTTCTTCTTTCAATCATTGCTTTGTTCCACTGAGAAAAAAAAGTTGCTGATAGATCCCGGTCAACAGTGACTTTTAGTTATTGTTTTCTACATTGAACTGACCGTCTCTCATATACTTACATATTCTTTTTATTCGATTATTTTGTTTTCTCTTTCTCACTTATTCAACAACTAAAATATTCTCTTCTGTTTTAAACTTTTCCACATGTTAATGCGAAATTACCTTGCTGTTCTTCTTGCAAAAAGTTCTTCTTTCCCAGCTGCCTCCCTTTACTCACTCTTACCGTCTCTTTCTTTTCACCCTAAGTGCTTCATATCACATTCTTCTCACTTAATCTTTTCTCTTCCCGTACTCGTCTTACTCTCTACACTTTTCAGTATTTGGTTGGCTGTTTCTACTTTCACTTTCGTTTTCCCTCAACTCACTGCTTGTCGCTGCTGAGGCAGCACACTTTTCGCGGGTGGCAAATCAAGGGAAGGGAGTAGCGGTGGTCATAACAGGTGCTTTCTGCCATGCAGGGAACATCCCACATCCGTCACACGAAGGCAGGCAGGCAGGAGAGTCTCCGTTACACTTACAACGTTCCGCACCGGCGAAACACATGAAGCAGAACGGTCTGATGGTGGTCGGTGATAGGAGTAGAACGTCGAATGGATATACATATGAACTCCGTGGTAGCCGTGGATTTTATACCTTAAAACACACGCGAACGCATATCACTGGAAATCATACATACGCACTCCGATGTAAACTCATTAGATTCCCCGATTCTTTTTAAAAAAGCAAAAAAAAAAAAAAAAAGCAAAAAAGAAAAGAAATAAACTAAAGAAAGGATCAAAAAGAAAATATATGCAAAACTATAGACATCTATTTATATTGTGTGTATTTTTTACTCACATGTTATCGGCAATGTGTAACTACAAATATATTTGAGGTTTTCGTTCGCCCTTATTCTTGCAAGTGAACACATACATGCATATTGATAAAGACCCATGTGGAAGTGATGAAGGGCTAAGCTGAATCATCCAAGTTTGTTCTTTTTAGATTTGTTATGTTTATTGCTTAATTTCATATTTCTTATCATGATAAAAATGATATAAAAATAGTTTTATCCATAAAATATCTTATACAGATGGAAGAAAAAAATCACTTGTTTTTGAAGAGTATATAAATCCTAGTTTAAACGCTCGTATTAGCAAAATCGAAAAAAAATTATATATGAAAAATGAAAAATAAATACGAATATTTTTAACAGTAAGAAAATTTTATAAAACAAAAAGTAGAAAAAGTTAAATTCCTAGCTTCATTCAAAGAATCGTTCCCAACAATTTTTTTTAAGAAAGGAGTATATTTTTTAAAAGAAAAGACAAAAAAGTGTAAAATTTGAAATAAATAAATATAAATGTAGAAATCGAAGAGAAAAATATTCAAAATATATGAAAACAAAGAACGCACACAAAAATAAGAAAAACAAAACAAAAACACTGCCCTCTTCAGAAAATAACATTTAACTTCAAAGAAATGTCGTTCTGATCTACCTACCATTGTGACTTCGTAAATATTTCAAACACTTGAGGCTAAAATGCCACATGAAGGAGACACGCTACTACAATCTCATCCAGACAAAGTAGAACGCTGATTATTTACGCAAGAAAAAAAAAACAGTTTATCATTTAACTTCTTCGATTACTTTCCAAATCCATTAATTTACAGAGGTCTTTTTAAGGATTTCGTTTTCTTTGATGGAATATAAACCCTCAGAATATTTTACTGATGGATAAATACAAACGAGGAAACGAAGAGTATCCAGTTGCGACCTTTTTATTCGCTCTATTGACTTGCTGCTCTGTTTTATGTCAATATATTGCGATAAATGTCTTAAAAAGTGATTAGCACTTCGACGTGTGTTCACAGGTGGGCAACATCGATTGATTGGCATCGATCTGTGCGATTTTTTCTATATTTGTGTGTTTGTGTGACGGCCATTTGGGCCTTGTCTATGTGCGGGGGTGAGGTGCTACGGTTCGTATGAATGTGCGCGTGCTTATGCGTGAATGCGTGAGTGCGGGTGTGAGCATGGGCGTATCCGTGTACATATGAATGAATGACTGAAAGCATGTAGAATTTTTTTGTAAAGAGAGATATTTAGGTAGATAGATATAGAATGAGAGAAATAGAGAGTTATACAAACTTACAGAGAGAGATATTTATTTTGAGAAAAAAAAAAGGAAATAAAAGGGGAGTGAGTGTGTTGCTATAGGGAGAAGGAAGAATAGTAGAGAGAGTGAGAGAGAAAGAGCCATTAAGGTCATTTTTGTGTGTGTCATTTAAGAAAAACCGAGTTGCTAGCAAGTCTAAGTCGAAGAAAGATTAGTTCAACGGCAAGCCTTTGATGTTAGTAATGTCTCCTCTTAGGACTACAAAATTCCTATTCTGGCAAATTATACAATACTTGTTGATTTTGGCGATATTAATCTTGAATTTAGCTCAGCCTAGTTTTAGCCGCTACGGTACCCCTATCTACCCGGCTGTTAAGGATATGGCCCAGGTAGTTTACAATACGAAGGGTCAGTGGCCTAACATGACCTATATGTTGAGTGCCCGGGTGTTCTCAACTAGCTCAACCGGCTTAACTTCTGATCCTACTCTCGCACCGGACATTAGCGCTTTTTTGCCTGACGTGGAGGACCGCATATCAGACACGGATCAAGATCCTAATACCTATCCAGTAACCCTGTATGAGAGAGCACTGGACGAAAAACAGGACGAAGACAGAGAAGGGACAGACAACAGTTATGTTCACAACGGGGACCTTAATGCACCTCGATCCTCGGTTGATGGGAGCAATAATGAGGATCACAGCGATATGACCCTGGTGAGGGAGAGCAGCGAAACAGAGCATCAGTGGAAAGTGGTTCCACACCGCCTGAGGGGTCGCAACGAATGTACAAAAAGTGACATGGAACAGGCTGAATTGCTCAACTCGGATTTAAAAGACAAACAGTTATTGGATTTACCTACGACGCTCTATATTGGAGGATTATTTGAATCCACGGATTTACAATCCCGCGGAAGGTCGGAATTTCATTCGGCTCAGATGGCAATTGGACATATCAATGAAAAAGGAATCATCCCAGGTTACAAATTGGATCTCGTTTACAACGAGACTGCGGTAAGTACTGTTTTGGCCTAATTATTTTTGGAGGCTTACTTGTTAAAATTCTTTCTTTGGCTGCAATGAAATAGAAATTCAAATCTCTGAACATTGCAGCTTACAAGAAAAGAAATCTAAAACCTAAGAAATCAATAGACTATTTTTTTAAAATCAATACCAGAAAGACCACGAACACAAAAGTGTTTTTGGACCATTTAACACGAGAGAATCAATTTGATTTTTAAGAGTAACCAAGTGATTGGGGAAAACTTGCATTCATAACGTACTGAAAGACACAATCGATACGGCAAAAAAGAAAACAATAACTACTCTATCTAAAATTGTACATTTTTAGTTGAAATTTTGGGTAGAAAATATAATTTATGTGGATCAATTTTCAGTCATTAAATCTGTTTTTAAATGAACAAACTAGTTAATAAATAAAACACCATTTCCTCCCCACTCCCACATAGTAAAATTCGGGTTCCAGCATTCAGTTAGGTTTTTCTACTAGTCTTGGTATCTAAATGAAGATACAAGGATTTAATACTTTCGAAATTATTTATAAATTTACTTAAGACTTATTGACAGCGTTCAACAGTTCAGGATATGCCAGTGTTTTGCAATCTTGGATCAGCTTTATAGATTGTTACATTTCTTCAAAATGCTTTTGGAATCAATCATAAAGAAAGTTTTGTCGAAATTCTTTGGAATCAATCTTAAAGAAATGATAAAAGTTCTTTCATTTTTCGTTAATGTTATGGTCTTATTATTTCCTGAAATTATTTTGGTCAACAGGGGATTGTAGACTCGCCGATATTCCGTTGGCAAAATATTTCTTTAGTTATTGCTGCAAAATCCGAAGAAAATATCATTCAGACTATTAATTTGTGCAAAGGGTTTAAAAGTCTGTGAATTACAGTGATCCCTAAGAATTCTTAGTTATTGAATAGTCCGACTGATGTTGAAATATTTCGATAAAATTTGTTGAATATCTATTAGTCTCTTTAAAGTTCCATGACAATCACGCTATACAAAGATAGCATTCTCTCTAGTATTTTGCCGTAAAGATATTTAAACTATTAAATATTGCACGTCTTCAGTTTTGTTGAATGTGAATAGTGTATAGAAAAACAATGTGTTTTAGTTTGTGCTTTTTGGTGTCCTACATAAAGAATTGGTATCCTGTCTTTTGCCAGACTTTTGATAGGGGAATGAAGGCCGTCAAGTAGAATTTTGTTTTTAACGAGTGGATTTCTTTTTAAATTGTTTTAGATACTGCACTTAAAGAAGATGCCAAAATTAATTTTTCTTCGTTTGGAGGCGTTTTTTTTCTTTAATTTTTTTTTTTGTGAGTGAATGATTATTTGATAAAACTGAAGCAATGGCAAATTTTCCCATGGTAAAAAAAAAGTAGCTAAACTACATTTCTAAAAAATCTTTTCAAAGATAATAAAAATCAAAGAATATATGGAATCGATTTTTTTAATAAAGAAACAAAACCATTTTTAGATGTACTAGAAAAAACCCCGAAAATTACGTTTTTGATAAATATTTGCAAATGAATAATCGAAAATTTAAGAAGAAAATTCAGTAAAAATACTAATCATAAAACTAAAAAATAAAAAAAAAATCCCGAAACGAACAGAAAGCGAAGAAAAGAACAAATCAACAAAAAAAGGGGACAAGGAAATCGATTTCTTTTTGGCGTGACGAAATTAATCCCAGAATCAAAATGAATTATTAACGATTAATTAGTAAATTATTAATTATTAAATGATAATGTATGCTTTTTCCGAATTGAAAAGCAAATATCAAGCGATGTGGAATTCAACTCAAAAGTTTCTTGGAAAAGTTATTGATGTCAGTCATTTAACGAGTTTTGATTGCGTCCAATAGAAAAGAAAAGGTTAAAAATCGGATTTAACACAATGAAATCAGAGTGTCAGTCACTCCAGTACACATACAACAAAATGTGATTCAGAAAAATTCTATAAATTTGTATTGGTCGAAGAATATAGCAGACCATATGAAAATGTCCAAAGATTATTAGTTTTACGTATTTTTAATATTTTACGCTTTCTTGAATGATTCACTCACTTTTGTTTTCATTAGAATTATGGCTTTTCCCTTTGGCCATGTTTTTAGGCCCAACAGTTTACATCACCAGGTCTACAAGGACGTATTCAATATTTGCGGAACACTTTTTCATTTCATTGTATTACATATGGCGACAGATGAAATAATATTTCATAAAAAACATAAATAAAATAAGAACTTATGATTAGTCAAAAGCACTTGAATATTTGGTTTCTTTCATGAAAAGGTAAAATAAATTAGAAAATAAAAATATATGAATGGCAGGATTGATCTTTCATTTTTGCGAATTGATATCGAATTATAACAAGAGAATCAAGAAAACAGTTTTAGTCAATATTTCAACGCAGTTGACAGTTATCGGGATTTTTTTCTTTTGTCTCTAGTTCTTAAATGTAATATTCATTCAATTCATAATAATGATTGCTAGCAGTGTCATACACGTTATTTTCAGACTGACAAAACTTTGTATTATTTTCTTTTGTTTTGCCAATAACTCACAAAACCCAGGAGCTCAATGAAGTAATTATTTTGGAGATTATTCTGCCATGTGAATGCTGCTAAATTGGAATATTTTCGAAATACTATTTTTTTGTAAAAGGAATTTGGGAAAATAAAATGAAATCCGTCGGGAATCGTCTGACAGTTATTGGATGTGCGGATAGTGGATAACGGCTTGGAATGGGAAATTGGAGAGCCGAGTTTGTTACATTCACTTATGCGAAAATACTTTTGGGAAAGCCAGGAATCCATATCTTCTACCCTCCAAGATATGGATTAAATAGTAAGACTGAGAAAAAAATCATTGTTATTATAAAATATATTGCTAATGTCATGGGTCATACCTATAACTACAGAATAGAAATAACACTATGTATACTACTCTCAAGAGAGAGGTCGAATGAGCCCAGGCACACAAGCGACGGTCGAACTCTCTCTGACCAGAGGAACGGACGAAACCCCGCCGAAGGGTAGAAACCTCATTCAGGGAGGTTGACTCCAATTCTGTTTTACAGTTTCACAGGCATTGACCTGAGCTCGAAACCCACATTAAACTCGGCCTTGTGCCACATGCAACCCCTCGTGGGGGATGGCTGGAATGCTACCAGGTGAAATTGAGCGATATTGGTTGTCAACCAGACTGACAGTCATACTAACACCTTCCATCTTATTTTAAAATTTTTTTTTTTTTCCCTTTCCTTTAAATTAAAAAAAACCCAATTTAATATAATATTCACTAGAAAAATAATTTTTTTCTTTTAAAAACCAAAATATTTAATTTTTAATCCCTAAAATTAAATATTTAAAACAAAATAATAATTAATTAATTTTTAATAAAATTTAGAAAAAATTTAATTTAATACAATTTTTTTAACCAAACATTAAATTTAGAAAATTCCCCGGTTTTAATATTAAGTTTTATATAATATACCAATTTTATTTTTCCTGCAATATTTAAATATTATTATATTTAAAAAAAATAAACTATTTTAAATAAAAAATTCTAAATATTCCTAAAATTTATTAAAAAATTTTTAAAAATTGCATATATATTTAATAATTAATTTCTATTTAAAGTCCTAGAACAAAGTAGTAAATTTTTTTAATTTATAAAAATTTTATAATTTTAAAACAAAGCCCCTAAATAAAAACTTTATGATTTATATCGGGCGGGCCCTTTAATATATTTTTTTTATTAAACTGAAAATTTTAAATTATTTTATTTTTTTCCTTTAATTTTTTTTTTTTAATCCAAATATTATATATTTTTTTATTTCATTGAAAATTTTATAATTTTTCCAAATTTTCCAAAAATAATTATAAGGTTTTTTTACCTAAAAATTTTAAAATTTAAATTTTAACCCTGGCATTTATTAGCAATTTATTTATATATTTAGAAATTTCCTTTTTTTATTTAAATTCCTGAAATAAATAAAAATATTTTAAATTGCCTAAAACTTAATTAATATTTTTTTTTCCCTGAAAAATTTTCAAAAAATAACTAATTTTATATATAATCAATTTTTTAACCCTAAAATTAAATTTTGCATTTTTAAATATATTATATATGTTTTTAAAATGTTATAATTATAACAAAAAATTGCATTATAATATTTTTTTAAATATTTAAAAATATTATCCAATTTTTGGGGTTATAAAATTTTAGCAATGTTCATATTTATATATATAAAAATATATATAACCCCAATTTTTAATATATATACAAAAAATATAAAAACAAAATTTATATTTCACAGAATATATAAAACATATTTATATATATATTTTATAAATTATATATATATATATTTTATATATATATAAAAAATATATATATAAATATTTATATATAACATAAAAATATATATATATATTTATATATATATTATAAATATATATATCATATTTATTATATATATATGGGTATATATATTTTTTATATATATACACTGGAAATTTATTATACAAATGTATTTATATTTTAAAATATATTATATATAATATTTATATGTATATTTTTCACTGGGAAATATATTTTAATATTTTTGGTATATATATTTTAAAATAAAAATATATATATAAATATTATTCACTAGAAATTATATATATTTTATTATATAAATATTTATATATATATTTTCAGGGGGAATATATATATATAATATATATATATAAATATATTTCGGGTATAATATATATATATATAGGATATATTATATATTTTATATATATATCAAGGATATATTATATATATTCATTGAAATATATTATATATATTTTAAATATATATATATTTTTTTAGAATATTTTATGTATATATACCCCCCTTTTAAGAAATATATATTATTATATATGAAATATTTTATATATATATTTTAAAAATTAAAATATATATATTATTAGAATATATATATATATTTAAGAATATATATATATATTTA